GTAGTGGTAGTGGTAGTGGTAGTGGTAGTGGTAGTGGTAGTGGTAGTAGTAGTAGTAGTAGTAGTAGTGGTAGTTGTAGTAGTAGTAGTACTAGTACTAGCACTAGTACTAGTACTAGTAGTGGTAGTGGTGGTAGTAGTCGTTGTAGTGGTAGTAGTGGTAGTGGTACAGTAGTGCAACCCAGTGGTACAAACCTCACCTTAACGCAAAACCTATCGTTTTCTCTACTTTTTGGACCTCCCAAGTCATTGCCCCCAATGAGACCCATGTTGGTCTTAGTAGTAGTCGTCGTAGTCGTCGTCATCGTAGTAGTAGTAGTACTAGTACTAGTAGCAGTAGCAGTAGTAGTAGTAGTGGTAGTAGTAGTAGTACTAGTCATAGTAGTAGTGGTGGTGGTGGTAGTAGTAGTAGTAGTGATAGTACTAGTACTAGATACAGATAATATATATATAAATATATAAACCTTGCGCTCGCCCTTGCGCCTTCTTGCGCCTACCAGGTAAAAACAGCCCAAAAACTTATCAATCTTTATGACATGTCCTCTCTAAAGCCTGTCTCTATACGGGGGTTTCGAACGGCTCCCATATATATATATATAGACTGACTCAATCAAGCTATCCTTTTGAGGGCGGGCAGTCTTGTTTAGTTTCTTGACTTTACTGTACAGTCTATTACTATTGTTTGCTAGCAAGAATTGGTGGCATCGGCTATATACAGCATACATGCGATTACTGACATGCTTAGTCATAGTGTCTCCGCCGCAAGTTTCATGACTTTTGTGTGACTAGATTGTGTTTTCGGTGGACTTACACACCAACCCATGCACATCCCCACCCACCAAAACAAATACACATATATAAACCGATATACCCCGCTTATATAATTACTTGACTGTACGAAGCCTCGCGACTAGAGATTCTAAGAGATCCAAGAGTATGCAAAGTGTATCCCTGAGGAGAGTATCAAAACATGTGCTTACAATGCATGTGCTTACAATGCATGTGCTTACTGCTTTGAACCGTTCTGAAGCTTTGATCTGGTCAATCTGTTTGATTTGCTGTCCACCGTTTGCTGCTTTCTGCCCCTACAACCAAGGCTTCCGGCTGGCTGTTTGGCAGGGACATCAATGAAGGACTCACCTGGGTCCAGCCGCTCCCCCATGCAAAGCAACAAACAACATTTTACTGAATCAATCCGCCGGCCCTCGAGCGCCGGCGTGTTTGATCAATGTGGCTTGTATGTAGCTTATGTTGAATCTATATGTAATAAGAAAAGTGTCTCTGGAGCAAGTTTTTTGCCTCGTCTCACTTGACCCCCCTCCCCCCCTTCCCCCCGCAAGAACATCCCGTATGTATGTAGCTCACATATATCATAGCTAAAGTGAAAGGTTGCGCGCGCTTCCTTCTTATCGTCGTTCTTCTCTTGTCGTTGTCCATGCATTGCGCTTCTGCTTTGCATGCGTTTTCTCAGGTTTTGCACCTGCACTCACGTATCTATCGTTTTTTGCAGACTCAGACTGCTTGGAAATCCCCATGCCACACATGTCCTCATTACTCTCTTGTATCATGTCTGACGGACTGCTATGTACGTTTGCTGCTTCGCACGGTCTACTTCGCTCATTGTGTCACATGTCATACAATTTGTCTTCTTGCTTGGCAGGCTATACTTTGCATCCCCCAATTTCATCTCCCTGTTCTCTTTATTGTATCATAATGCACGTCATTTCATGTAGGCTCCTCCGTTGCTCCAGCTGTGTTCTGGATGATGCTGTTACTTTTTCTGCTCTGTTGCAGTCTTTCCTCTTGACGCAAAAGGTAATCCGCATCTTGGGACCATTGGCTGAAAAGGCCGGCGGAACAACCCGCAGGGTGTAAATAGCAAAAAGGAATGGCCAGAAGGTGTGCTTTGCTAGAATTCTTGCATTGGACGGTCCATGTTCACGAGTATATAACCTTCTGTCGCTCTGCGCTGCTCTGAGATCGGTGCTCGTTTCAATACCCTCTGGTGGGCCACCCTGTCGAGACAATACAGTGCATAATTAGGCTGTGAAATATTGTGGAGGAGTTTGACATGTCTTCGGTTCGGTTTGGTGTGAAGCATCATGTCAACTCCGCGGATTTGCAAGCGGGCATATCACATATTATGGTAAAATGCTTGTCTTCTATTGCGTGAAACAAAGTGCACCTGGCTTTTCTCTCGGGCCAAGCAATACCAACACAATATCTAACTTCTCTTTGCTATGCTCCCTCAGCCCTCCTCCAAAAGCTTCAAGGCTGTGGAGCGATGTGGCTTCACCACCCCCTCGGACTCTGGCAGATCCGGAGGCCTCAAAATGATTTGAATGGTCAAAACGGCCCCTAGTAGATCATTGCCCCTAGTAGCGATGCCCTTTGCTCCTAGTAGCTTCTTGCTCCTAGTATTAAGGTGAGGAGCCCCTAGTAGCTTCTTGCCCCTAGTAGCGATGCCCTTTGCTCCTAGTAGCTTCTTGCTCCTAGTAGTCAGGCTAGGAGCCCCTGGTAGCTTCTTGCCCCTAGTAGCGATGCCCTTTGCTCCTAGTAGCTTCTTGCTCCTGGTGGTAAGGCCAGGAGCCCCTACTAGCTTCTTGCCCCTAGTAGCGATGCCCTTCTTGCTCCCAGTAGTAAGGCCAGGCGCCCCCAGTAGTTTCTTGCCCCTAGTAGCGATGCCCTTTGCTCCTAGTAGCTTCTCGCTCCTAGTAGTAAGGCCAAGAGCCCCTAGTAGCTCATTGCCCCTAGTAGCGATGCTCTTTGCTCCTAGTAGCTTCTTGCTCCTAGTAGTAAGGCCAGGAGCCCCTGGTAGCTTCTTGCCCCTAGTAGCGATGCCCTTTGCTCCTAGTAGCTTCTTGCTCCTAGTAGTAAGGCCAGGAGCTTAGTAGCTTCTTGCCCCTAGTAGCGATGCCCTTTGCTCCTGGTAGTAAGGCCAGGAGCCCCTGCTAGCTTCTTGCCCCTACAAGCGATGCCCTTTGCTCCTAATAGCTTCTTGCTCCTAGTAGTAAGGCCAGGAGCCCCTAGTAGCTTCTTGCCTCCAGTAGCGATGCCCTTTGCTCCTAGTCTTCTTGCTCCTAGTAGTAAGGCCAGGGGCCCCTGGTAGCTTCTTGCCCCTAGTAGCGATGCCCTTTGCTCCTAGTAGCTTCTTGCTCCTAGCAGTAAGGCCAGGAGCCCCTGGTAGCTTTTTGCCCCTAATAGCTTCTTGCTCCTAGCAATAAGGCCAGGAGCCCCTAGTAGCTTCTTGCCCCTAGTAGCGATGCCCTTTGCTCCTAGTAGCTTCTTGCTCCTAGTAGTAAGGCCAGGAGCCCCGGGTAGCTTCTTGCCCCTAGTAGCGATGCCCTTT